CCCCTGTGCACCGAGGGCTCAGCCCCAGCCTCTCCACACCTCCCCTGTGCACCGAGGGCTCAGCCCCAGCCTCTCCACACCTCCCCTGTGCACCGAGGGCCCAGCCCCAGCCTCTCCACACCTCCCCTGTGCACCGAGGGCCCAGCCCCAGCCTCTCCACACCTCCCCTGTGCACCGAGGGCCCAGCCCACACCTCCCCTGTGCACCGAGGGCTCAGCCCCAGCCTCTCCACACCTCCCCTGTGCACCGAGGGCCTGCTGCATGTGCAGACGCCGGGGCTCAGCAGACAGCGCTGCGGCTCCACCGTCCTCAGCCCCAGCCTCTCCACACCTCCGCTGTGCATCGAGGGCCTGCTGCGTGTGCAGACGCCGGGGCTCAGCGGACAGCGCTGCCGCCCCACCGTCCTCAGCCCCAGCCTCTCCACACCTCCCCTGTGCACCGAGGGCCTGCTGCGTGTGCAGACACCGGGGCTCAGCAGACAGCGCTGCGGCTCCACCGTCCCCGCCAGACCCCACAGCCAGTCCCACATCCCCAGCCCCAGCCCCGTCTGGCTCCGTTCTGGGGTCAGGAGACAGAAAAGAAACAGAGGCCTGGCCCTGAGCTCGGGTCACTGTTCCCACACTGCGGCCGTGGCGGGGCCATGGCCACAGGCAGCAGGTGGGGAGCGGGGAGGGGTGGCCCCCCCAGGCGGCTGGGCAGCTTGTGGTAAACTCCCCTAGACGCCATTTCCAGAGCTCTGGAGCGAGCCCCGGGAATACAAGCTTCAAAGGGCTCCTGGGGACAGGGCTGTGTGGCACCGTCCTGTGCCAGCTGCTTAGGAAGTAGAGGCAGGAGCAAACAAACACGTAGGGCTTTACCCGAAAACGGAGCCAACGCACAGGGCCCTGTGGCCCAGCCCCCGTGATAGAGTTCTTGTTCTGTGAGTGAGGCCCTGAGTTCAACTCCAGAAAGGGGAGGACCACGGGTATGGATGAGGAGGCCATGGCCGGGGATGGGAAGAAGTGTGTCCCTGTGGGCTCAGGAGGGAGCCAGGGGCGGAGGACGCCAGGGCGGGTCGCGGGGGCCCAGACAGGACTCGTGCGATCAGTCGGAGCCTGCAGGTAGGTGACGTGAGCCCCGTCTGCCCTTCCAGCCGCCCCGGCCTGCATCAGCAGAGCCACAGTGAGCTCCGCGGGGCCTCGGCGCCCGGGGGTCCCACACACCTTGCTGGCTCTGACGCCCCCCCTCCATCCTGCAGAACAAGGTGTTCATCTACCGGGGGAAGGAGTATGAGCGGAGGGAGGACTTCCAGGCGCAGCTCCTGAGCCAGTTCCCCAACGCCGAGAGCCTGACCACCACCTCCGCCCCCGGGGAGGAGGTGCGGGCCGCGCCCGGCCAGTGTATCCCTGCTCGCCGGTCCGGAGCGGCCATGGGAAGTGGGGGGCGGGGGGGACACTTTGGGCGTCCGGGATCCACAGAGCCTACTTCTGTGCTGTCTGTCCACTCCCTACCCGGGATCCCGCCCCACCCCGCCCCGCCAAGCGCACCTGACTGTGGGCATTTGGGGACAGTGAGGTTCCCCAGCTCCTCGCCCTCACGCGGGCAGACTCTCCTGGGTCACCTTACGGAACGAGGCCTTTGCTGGACATCGGGAGCCTGTGACTTCGCGCCCCGTTCGCGTGGTTGGGAGAATCGCCCTCTGTCGGCCACGCTCTGGGCGATTTGTGGTTCGGAGGGAGGACATTGGCTCCGCCTGGTGCCCACCCGAGTCCACAGTGCCCGGCCCAGAGCCCATGGGAGAGAGCCGAGACAGAGACAGTGAGAGAGGAGAGAGACAGAGACAGAGAGACAGAGAGAGAGACAGCGGGGGGGCGACACCTGCACTGGGTCAGGGTGGGATTGCAACCCCCCTCCCCGTGCGAGGGGCTGATGCGTGGGAGCCAGGCGGCGGCACGTTACCCCAGGCTCCACTCCATCCTCCCCACCCCCCAGTCCCCCTCCTCCCCGGCACCACCCCCACCTGCAGCTGGCTGAAGTCACAGCCTTGAAAATGGGGTTGACAGGCGCACAGCTGGCCGGCTCCGTCTGCTGAGCCTCCATCCAAACATTTTCCTCCTGGGTGATAAATATTCACGCGTAACCTTTTCCCGCCGCCCTTCTGTGGCCGTGTGCAGACAGAGCTCTGGGGAGGGCCTGGGCCGGCCGCGCTAAGCCCTGCATGGTGACGGACGTCCAGGCCCGGGCAGCCGCGTGGCCTTTGGCTTGGGCAGGGGAGCGAGCCTGCGTCCCTGGGCCTCACTGTGTGTGTAGGAGCCCGAGGCCAGCGAGCAGAGAACGGGCCTCTGAGCTGTGCAGCCTCCCCTCCGGGGCTGAGGGCCAGGCCGTGAGATGGGTGTGGGCCACAGAGAAGGTCGGGAGGGAGGGGGAGCACACAGGCGCCCGTGGTGAGCAGCAGTCGGGGTGAAGCTGGTCCCTGGGGCGTCCCACGGCCGATCTGCTGTGCACCTGAGTCCTTAACTCCAGACCGCAGACATCCAGTGCTTCACGGTCCAGCCTGTTCTGGATGAGCACCCCCGGTTCAAGAACAAGCCTGTGCCTGACCAGATCATAAAGTAAGACCTGCAGCCCTCCGGGGGAAGGGAGAGGGAGGGGCGGGCTCCTGGGGTCACACTGGGGCCCAGCGCCCCCTGCGGCTCAGCCCCTGTGCTCCCTCACCTCCAGGCAGGACAGCCCCCCACAGTTAGCCTCGACAAAGCCGCAGATGGGGGGAGAGAGGGGTGTGGTTCACTAGATTGGGTGGGTGAACGTTGTTCACCGTGACCCCACAATATCCCCAGAGAACCTCAGGAGAGATGGGAGCTAGCAGGGGACCAGCAGGGAGGTGACAAGTAGGGAGGAGCAAGGTTGCCTGGGGTTGCCTTGCAGGTGCATTTACGGTGGCTGTCAGCCTCGGGTGGGTGGTGTGCAGCATGGCTGTCAGTCTTGGGTGGTGTGCAGCATGGCTGTCAGTCTCGGGTGGGTGGTGTGTAGGTGGCTGTCAGTCTTGGGTGGGTGGTGTGCAGCATGGCTGTCAGTCTCGGGTGGGTGGTGTGCAGCATGGCTGTCAGTCTCGGGTGGGTGGTGTGCAGCATGGCTGTCAGTCTCGGGTGGGTGGTGTGCAGCATGGCTGTCAGTCTTGGGTGGGTGGTGTGCAGCATGGCTGTCAGTCTCGGGTGGGTGGTGGTAGCATGGCTGTCAGTCTCGGGTGGGTGGTGGCAGCATGGCTGTCAGTCTCGGGTGGGTGGTGGCAGCATGGCTGTCAGTCTCCGGTGGGTGGTGGCAGCATGGCTGTCAGCCTTGGGCACTGCGTGGCGTGGTTCAGCGGCTCTAGTTGGGGCTGCCGCCCTGGAGGGCAGGCTGAGGCCCTCCACATGGGTTGTGCAGTGTAGTGCTCAGGGGCAGCAGGGGGCAGCAGCCAGAACTGACCTCTCCTGACCGGCCGCCGCCTCCTTCCAGCTTTTACAAGTCCAACTACGTGCAACGGTTCCACTACTCCCGGCCCGTGCGCAGGGGTGCCGTGGACCCCGACAACGAGTTCGCTGTGAGTGTCCCCACCCGGGGGGGACGGGCCCCGGGGTGGGGATTTCTGAGGACGCACGGCCGGCGTCCACGGAGAGGGCCACGTTGGCTGCTCGTTTCTTTTCCTTTGAGGGGCTCTCGGCCCGGGCAGCTTGTTTTGTGTAGCCGCCAGGATCCCGAGTGGCTGGACTTGGTGTTTGGGGGGCAGTGCCAGGGCATGCTGGGTGCGAGTGCTGGCCCTGGAGCCGCTTGGTTCTCCTCCTCCCTGAGTCCCCCTGTGTTAACCTCAAGCTCACGGTCCCCCCGCCTCCCCCCGAGACCCTGGGCCCCGGGCGTGCCCGTGATGCCCAGCCTAGACCAACCCAGTAGTTTCGGGTCACTGCCCTGCTGAGGACATGGGGTGCACCACAGCCCCCAGAAGGTTCAAGTGGCCTCTCTCCATTGTGGGAGAGTCTAGGGACAGATTCCGGGGTCGGGCACGGCCGCGCTGCCCGCGGGAGCTGTAGTATTCCCGTCCCGCGGGCGGTGGGCGGCCCTGGGGCCCGGGCCTCTGAGACCCAGCGTCCTGAGAGCCTCCGTGTCCCGCCCGCGCCCGGCCGGCCCCAGTCCATGTGGATCGAGAGGACGTCATTCCTGACTGCGTACAAGCTGCCCGGCATCCTGCGCTGGTTTGAGGTGGTCCACATCTCTCAGGTGCGTGTGGGCATCCGTGGGGAACCCCGTCCCCCGGGGAGGAGGCCTGGACTAGAAAGCGGGCAGTGTGGATGCCTCTTTCCTCCCTGGCCTTGGGGCCCGCAGAGGCTGGCTTTGAGGGCACTGCTTGCCAACCTCTGAGGCTGGCGGAGGCCCCGCTCGGGGTCGGCCACTGTGGCTGAGCTGTGTTGCTCAAGGCTAGCGCTCTTCCGCTTGAACCACCTGCGGCTCCACTTCCAACTTTTGGTGTTTCGCTGGAGATAGAGTCTCTGGCCTTCCCTGCCCCAGGCTGGTTTCGAACTGGGATCCTCCGATCTCCCGAGTAGCCTGTGATGGGTGTGGGCTGCGCCGCCTGGCAGCTGTCTCTGTCTCTAAGCGTCCGCTGAGGCCCGTGCGTGCGCGTCTTTCCCACAGAGCACCCTCAGCCCCCTGGAGAACGCCATCGAGACCATGTCCGCGGCCAACGAGAAGATCCTGATGATGGTCAACCAGTACCAGAGCGACCCCGGCCTGCCCATCAACCCGCTGTCCATGCTGCTCAACGGCACCGTGGACCCGGCCGTCATGGGCGGCTTCGCCAAGTACGAGAAGGTGAGGCCCTCCCCGCCCCCCGCGGGCCCCACTTCCCGGGGGCTGACGTCACCTCCTCCAGAGCCCCAGGCCCTCAGATCCCCAAATCCAGCCCTCTCCTCCGGCCACGGGGGGGGGGGGGCACGTGGACAGAGCCCGCCTCCCGTGCCTCCTCCAGGCCTTCTTCACCGAGGAGTACTCCCGGGAGCACCCCGAGGACCAGGACAAGCTGCACCGGCTCAAGGATCTGATCGCCTGGCAGGTGAGGCCCGGCCGCCACGCCACCCTCCCCCATCACACGTCCTCTCCCCCTGCCTCCCGCCCCGCCCGGCCACCCCCCCCCAGCGGCCTAATCTGCAGGCAGATGCCGGACTGGGGGTTGCTAAGGTTGCCGGCTTTGATGGGAAACTCAGGAGGCTCTGGCTCTTCACAGAGGGGCTCCCAGAAAGCCAGCCGCCCCCACCCCGCCCTGACACGGCCCCACGTGACCCCCACACACCCGCCCCTGCCCTCCCCTCCCCTCCCCTCCACGCAGCAGGCAGACAATAGCGCAGGCCCTGCCCCCACCTGCGCCTCCCTCCCACACTGACCCAGTTTGCGGCTCACAGCGCGGGCTGGACCTCAGCTCCGGCAGATCTCGGACGGGCGCGTGTGTGGAGTGGGCTCTCAGCCGAGGGTCTGCACCCCTGTCCACTGCCGCCTCTCCCCCACCCCTCCCTCCTACGGGTCCTTCGGTCTCTCCGAAACTCTTTGCTAAAAGACCCTCCCTCTGTTATTCACCTCTGCCTCCCGCTCCTCATCCGCTGCTCGCCTTCCTCCTCTCCCTCCTCCTCCTCTCCCTTCCTTCCCCACTCCTCTCTGCAGACAAAACCCCCGATCAGCTAGATCTGTCCAGGAGTGGCTTCCGAGGGCCAGTTGCCCCCAGGCCGGCGGGGCAGCCCCTGCATCTGCCCCGTGGGGGGTGCACTCAGCCCCCTCCTTCTGCGGGTCAGCCCGCCCGCCCGCCCGCCCGCGCGCCCGTGCGGCAAAGCAAGCTTTCACGGCAGGGAGTTTTGTGACTCTGGGGAGATCGGGGGTGGAAGGCATGGGGCGCAGCTCTAGAGATGAGTTCGAGGTCTGATTGGGGTCCCTCTCTGCCTCCTCTGCCTCCTCGGCCTCTGCCGGCGAATGCCGGGCTTGGACAGCGAGCCTCCGGCTCTCACAGACACAGTGCACCTGCGTCTGTGGTCTTCGCTCCTTTTCGTTCTTTAACTCTGTAGCTCCCCCAGATCTCTAAGGCTCCCTCCAGAGGTCACCCCAAAGGGGGGAAGGCCAGCTCTGAGCCTTCCCTTCCCCGGATGCTTTGGGGGACCCCAGGAAGGGGGAGCCACCTCCTTGGGACCCCTCAGCCCACACCCCTGCCTGGATCTGTCTCCCAGGCCCCTCCATGCCGTACTGGCTGTCCCCTGCGCCCAGAGAGCGGGCCTGGGCCTCACGGGACGGCCAGGGCTGGCTGCCCTTCCCAAGGAAGGTCTACGAAGTCCTGGACCCAAAGCCTGTCCTGGGAGCCTGAGCTGGGAAACGGAGCGCAGCCCCCAACACGCCCCCTTGTGGCCGCCTTCCGCATAGCCTAGCTCGCTCCACAGGCTGCAGGGTCCCCAAAGCAGGTGGCCGGGCCTCGGCCCCCTGGGCCCAGGCGCCCTCCCGGTGGGCACCCGCACAAAGGCCCAGCCCCGCACCGTCCAGGGCAGCCTCGTCGAAGCCGGGGTCAAAGGGAAGCCTGGCTGCTGCTTCTCTGCAGGGCCGGGGTGACCCAAGCCGGTGGCCTCTTCCCGAGCAGCCAGGGCAGGCGCAGTCACAGTCCCCCATCGGGTCCCCGTCTGGGGCAGACCCCAACCTGCAGCTTCCCCGGGCACCTCAAGTCCAGGGGGAATTCTTCCCTGTGTTGGAGTAGTTAGCCCCTCGGCGTCCACGCCCAGCCGGCTTGGCCAGGGGCCTGTGCATCCAGCTCCCTGAGAGGAGGATTCTCAGCAGCGAAGGGGCAGGAGGAGGCTGGGAGGGGGGAGGAGGCCGGGAGGGGGGGAGGCCGGGAGGGGGGAGGAGGCCGGGAGGGGGGAGGAGGAGACGGCCCCCATCCCCACACCCGCCTTCTCTGCAGATCCCCTTCCTGGGGGCTGGAATTAAGATCCATGAGAAGCGGGTATCAGACAACCTGCGGCCCTTCCACGAGCGGATGGAGGCCTGCTTCCAGAGCCTCCGGGCGAAGGTGGAGCGCGAGTACGGAGTCCGGGAGATGGTACGGACTGGGGGGGTCTGGGGGCCGGGGGGGTCCCTGTGGCGGTGGGCCGAGCGAAGCTGTAGAAGAACCCCGGGAACCGCCGGTCCGGCTGGACCCCAGGGCCCCGCACAGCCACGCGGGTCACATGGGCATGCTGGGGCTGCATACTTACAAAGCACCTACTGTGTGCCAGACTTCAAAGGCAGGGCTGGGAAGGTGGCTCAGTGGTAGAGCGCTGGCCTCGCATGCATGAGGCCCTGGGTTCGATTCCTCAGCACCACATACTCAGAAAAGGCCAGAAGTGGCACCGTGGCTCAAGTGGTAGAATGCTAGCCTTGAGCAAATGACGCTCAGGGACAGTGTCCAGGCCCTGAGTTCAAGCCACGGAACTGGCAAAAAAAAAAAAAAACCCAAGGCAGTGGGAAAGAGGAGAGAGATGGAGGAGAAGGGGAGGAGCCATGAGAGAAAGAGGAGAGGGAGAGGAGAAAGAAGATTGGAGAAAGAGGGGAGAGGGGAAGAGGGGGGGTTCAAGGAAGCTAGGGAGGAGAGGTAGGTTGGAGAAGGGCGGGGGATGGCTGAGCGCCTGTGGCTCACGCCTGTCATCCCAGCTACTCAGGAGGCTGAAATCCGAGGACCACGGTTCAAAGCCAGCCAGGGCAGGAAAGTCTGTGAGTCTCTGGTCTCCAACTAACCACAGAAGCTCAGGGACATCGCCCAGGACCTGAGTTCATACCCCAGGACCAGTGCCAGTGCCAGGAGGGGGAGGGAGGATGCGGCGGGGCATAGGACCTGGGGGCACAGCGGTCCTCTCTGCTCAGCGAGGTGCGTTCAGATCTACCTGCCTCCCAGCACAGGACGTGCTGAGCACCCCCCCCCCTTCCGTCCTCCTCCCGCAGCCAGACTTCGAGGACAGGAGGGCGGGCCGCCCGCGGTCCATGCTGCGCTCCTACAGACAGATGTCGGTCATCTCGCTGGCTTCCATGAACTCCGACTCCGGGACCCCCAGCAAGGCCAACCCCGAGAGGTCAGCCGGGCCCCGCCCCCCGTGCC